CACACAATGTCAGCTTGCACCTTGACCTCGTCCTGAACATATTTGACTTCGTTGGAGCCCCCGGATTTGACCTTTCGGCTCTGAACAACTTTCTTGATTTCGCGTTCATGGTCGCCCAGCTCGCCAGAGTACAACTCGTCAAGCATCGAGTCTCGCACACCTTGGATGAGCCAGATCTTGTTGGCGCAGTTGGCGTTTTTGAGCCTGTTCAGAATGAAGCCTCGGAAGGGAGCCATCCCAACACCAGCACCAATAAGAACCATAGGTCCTTCTCCACCAAACTGCTTGGAAAGCGGGTTTGCCATGAGACCGCGGAACATGGGGACACGGAGATCGAGGATGCTGCGAGGGTCGACACCTTCATTTTCGGTTGTAATAAAGGCGTGGGCCAGGCGTTCCATAAAGCCACTGCCAACGCCAGTGCGGACAGCGCCGTCAGCGTGCCAATCGGGTGTTTCGTGAACAGTGACGGCCATCTCGATAAGGCGACGAGTTCCTGGAAGGCCAGGACGAGCCGACGAAATGTGGGGGTCGTTTGAGAGCGAGTAGAATCGTGGCATCAATTGGGTAAGAACAGAGAGAAGGTGTGGTAGCGGCGGCTTTGACGAAGGGAATGCACTGAGAAGCTGTGCAACAGTAAAGTGAGAACTGGTGCGCAAATCACAGAAAGCAGCCTGCCCTTGGGCAGAGCAGAGATAGGTCAAGATCTTCTTCTCGTTTGGCGCCTCAGCGTACTCGGCCATAACGCGGAGGAGGTTCTTGGTCGGGGGGTTTGACTGGATATCCGTACACCAGGTCAGGAGCTCGCGGCGAGTTGTGACGAGTTCGCGTGGCTGGTCTTCTCCCCAGATGGTTGGCCATCTTCCTGAAAAGGTCTTGAGTGTGACTGGCTTCTCGCGAACAAACTTGGGGATACAAAGAATGTCGAATATCTCGTCAACCATTTCCTGCGAGTTAGGCGGGCAAATGCCGACAGCACCGCCAACCTTGAAGTCGACTCCTCCCTCATCTGGGTAGTCGGTCACGTCAATGTCGAAGTGAATTGTGCGCTTCTCAGCGCCCGGCTTGGTCAGCTCGCGTGCGTGGTATAGCGGGGCCGAGTAGACTTCGTATGGCGGGTGTGGCTGGACATATCTGGGTGGCATCTTGTGTACCTCGGAGACGTACTTGGTGTCCTTGGATGGCAGAGGGTCAAAGGCCATGTTGACGGGCGGGAGCGGCATTGTGTCTGTGAGTTGACTGTCGAGGGCGAGGGGACCCAATTTGAGATTGAGAGTGCGGAAAGCATGGTTGTCTGGAATGACGACGGGGACGAAGTTGGGCGATGAGGAATCAGGAGCCAGTGTCTTGAGGAGACAGCATCCTCCGCCACAGCACTGGCTGATGAGCTTGGTGGCTGTCTCTCCCTCACCCAGTATCCGTCTGATGTCGTTTGGGTTGTCCGAAATCAGCGTCGTGGATGCCCGCCGAGGTCGCGACTGCTCCGCCAGGTTGACTGAAGCAGCAGGCAGCTCCTGCAGCTTATCGATGACCTCGTCGACGGCCTGGTCGGGCTCGGTGATTGGCGTCATGGGAGCCTCTGAATCATCGCTGCTGTTTGTCCATGCTGTGGCGTTGCCCGGGGACTTTGGCGAAATATGTTCGGGCTCCGACCGCGACTGGTCCGGCCACAGGGACAATTGGGGGATGTCCCTGGGCCCTGAGGGGATCGGGTCTTCAGGGTGTGAGGTAGATGTGTGTGGTATGGGGCTTGCCATGGTGGATGTCGAGGAAGCCATGTGTCGGCGTGGTGGAGAGAAAAGACGAAAGAGCGGCGTGGGAATCGGGGAGTTTACAACGAGGACTGCTAGCGCGAACCATTGTTATTAGCAACATGTTACTCATGTGTGCGAAATCCAGTCCAATCTGAGCAGCGGTTTCAGTCAGTCAGTGAGGAGGCGCATCCTCAGCTGGCTTGCTAAGCTGCGGGACACGGACGTGAGGACAATGTGGGGGAGCGAAAGGTTATCTGATGCTTTTTCCATGCACCGCGGAATTTGAGCTTATCAGATGGTGGCATCCCACACAAACTCAATGCTCACCTTGACGAAACGCTGACAAATGAGTCGGCGCAAGCGATGGCCGCGTACTAGATCCCAGGACGAAAGATGCGATCGCAGACGAGTGAGTGGGACGTAGTGTAAGGTAAAGTCTGGCGGTGGGTGAAGGTATGCACATGAGGGAGAAGAATGGTGGTGACGAGCCCATCTGCCCTCCGCGCCCGGCCGCTTTTCCCTGTCTGCTACTGCCGATCAACGACGCCGCCTCCAAGGGCTGAGATGACCAGACCAGACCAGGACTTTGCACTGGTGCCGAATGACGCTTGTGCGGGCGCCCACCCGATCGCATCGCCGAGGCCGGTCTGGTCTGGTCTTGTCGTTCCCGGCCTGGCCCTGCTTTTTCCGACACAAGGGGTACAATGGAAGAAAGTAATCGCTGATCGGCTAATTTTCTCCTCTTCACTATCTCCTGACCGTGGTGGTTCAGCTGCCGTTCATGACGCCACCCGCAACTGACCGCTACCCCTATCAATGTCTGCCAACTCCACGTGCAATTCTCCTCGGCGTATAATCGCGCACATATCCAAACACAAGCTACCACTGTCAGATGCCGGTTCCGATGGCTTGGCGGTCATTCCATCTGATAACCACGGCCTCAGACTCGGGCCCCACCAGCTGCCCTCACAAAACCCTGCCACCAAGCTGACGCCTGTATCTTGACGCCTGCAACTCCACCAGCCTTCTCCCCCACATGTACCGTGTCCATCCCATTGCGGAATGATTGCGTCTTGCCGCTGAAGAATCGTTACGTCGTTGAGCCGCCACCCACGTCCATCCTCAGCTTACCTCATCAGGATATGATATTATCCAGACACCCCAGCCCGCCAAACTCGACGAGCGCAGCCTTCCCCACCTAGTGAGACTGGCGTTGCAACGGGCTGACTGTATAACGCTGTGGTTGTATCGGCCTACACGCACAGGGTCTAACCTCGTTGTGCATCGTCTTCTGCCAAGTCGAACGAGCGTTGAGAAGAACGGTTTTGTTTAGCGGGCCCAGACCAACCTTTCCGTTCGCCACCGGAATGTGGAGGCCTGATCTCTTGAGACGACATCTTCATGACGCTATAAGATTTCCCCTCCACTGGATGATGCAAACATACGCATATCTTTCGCCAATTGCTCAGCTTTGCTCGTTAGGCAAAATGCGTTTCTTGGAATAACTAATCGTGGCAGTAACAAAATTGTATAGCAGTTTCGCCTTGAGCTATTCATAGTGCTATGCAAAAGTATCGACTTATTACTAACTGACGAAATCTGTCTTGTTAACTTCACCTCCGCATAGGGCGATATATGCATATCTAATATACATCCTGCACACACGTTGCTGCAACATTATTCTTCGATACAAATCTGTCTTGCCTATCACATTTTCCTCCTCGTTTCGCCATGACAACCATTCAATCCCGAGCCACACACATACTCATTAGCCAGATTCATTAAATTCATCCCACTCAAACCCTCCCCTAATACTTCCCACTCTCCTTAACCAACCCCTCCTTCTCATTCTCCTCCTTCCCCCTCAACGCCCACGCAGGCGCCTCATCCACACCCTCTTCCTCCGCCTTATCCCCCTCCTCCTTATTCTTATGCACACTACTCGGCAAATGCTCTGCAGGCGAATACACAGTGATAAGCTCCAGCGGCTGCTCCCCCTTCGTCACAAACTGATGCTGCGTCCCCGCAGGCACAACAACCACATCTCCCGCTGCTACCTCTTGCTCTTTCCCCGCCACAGTCGCTAGTCCCCGGCCAGATGTGAAGAGTAAGATCTGATCAACCAAGTGTACTTCATCACCTATCTCTCCATTCACGGGAACTTCCATTGCCACAATCTGGCCTGTATCGTTCTCATCAGCATCTTCAACTATCTTTAAAAGAAGGGAATGAGTATAGCAAGGGAGAAGAAAGAAAGAAAGAAAGAAAGAAAAACTAACTGTAAAGCCCCGTATGCAACACCGTTCTAAAATCCCCAAAACTCCGCTTCTCACTCATTAAACCGGGGAAATACACCATTTCGTGTTTCGGCGGCGCATCCTCTCTGTTTCCGACTTTCTTGTATCCTTCCATCTTCTTCACACCCTGCGATAGCGATGCAGTGCGGCTAGTACTCTGGAAACTCCGTGTAACGAGATACACGTGTGTAGTTACTGGTTTGGCGAGCGATGAGCGGGACGAAAAGGATGTTGTGGTGAGGCGGAGGGGCGTCTGGAGTGAGGTTTTGAGCATTTGGAGAAAAAAAGTTACCAGATGTTTTGCTGGCGGTACTGGCGTTTATAATTTTTCTTCTTCTTTTCAAGTGAGACAAGGGGGTGTGTGATTATATGTGATTAGGGAAGCGTTATACATTTTCTCTGCTCGCGTCACCGGGCTAGGGAGCGTGTCTGGTAGGGTGAGACTGAAGTAAATTAGTATACATGACGTCAATATTGCGATAGAAAGACATGATGTCTTCTTTTTTTTTAGATACAGACTAGGTGGATTGGTATCGAGACTAATTCGGGTGACATGCTATGGGGGTGCTCCCATCTGAGTGGTGCTGGTACCTGATTAAGTCATCGGAGTGCAGGGCAAGGGCGGGGCGGATTCACAACGCTATGGGGGCTAGCGGATGGGCTCCGCTTGATGCGACATGCTGAGGGAGCAAGCCATTGCGTACGTGTATGTTAGCTTGAGGCCTGGACTTGTCATCACAATGCATGTAGCCTGGCTCACATCCTGTTGCTTATGCTATCGTCTCACTATTGAGAATCACTTGGGATATGCTAAAATGCTTTTTTTTGAAGAGCAACCATGAGAGGAGAATAATGTTCAATTACACCAAACACTCGCATGTGCGAGCTTCAACAAGACAATGTTGTTATAAAGGTTGTTGCCGCCAAGATAATCGGCGGGCAATGTACAATGACAACTCCAAATCATGTAGCAAGGGATTGCCCATTACTTACTGGGCCTCTCTTGCCTAACTTATGTTCTCACACATCAAGTCTCAAAACCCCGAGACTGGTACTGGCGTTGAGACTCAGTATGGCCGGTGGGCCCAGCTACCGCTTAGAGTTTTTTGAGACAAATTCACAAGAAACTTCCTGCTTGCTTCATGAAAACGCCAAAGAAGCCTCCCATCACTAGCGTCATTCCTCCAGTATAACCCCGGAATATGACAATCCGTCTACTCATTTTTGCGGGCCAGAACCTCGTCCCTTTCTTCCTCAAGCTCCCGCTCAATCTCCTCTTCTTCAGTTGGCTTTGAACTCTTGACGTCCCGGGTAGGAACCTCACCACCGCTCATTTGCCATTCCATGAGCTTGTTGAATGCACCCTCAGGGTTGGAGCTAAGCTGCTCATAAGTGCCTTCCTCGGCTACCCTGCCATCCGAATCAATACAGATAATACGGTCGGAACGCTTGATAGTAGAGAGACGATGAGCAATGCTGATGGTTGTGTTGTTCTCTTGAAGAAGCTTGTTCAGCGCCTGGTTGACAAGGGTCTCTGACTCGGCGTCCAGGGCACTTGTTGCTTCGTCGAGAATCAAAATGTCAGGCTTCTTGATCAAAGCCCGTGCAATGGCAATGCGCTGCTTCTGGCCTCCCGAAAGCTGTGTGCCTCGGGCGCCGACATGTGTTTCAAGGCCATCGGGCTATGCTAGTCAGCGAAAGATCTAGAAGGATAAGATTCTGTACTTACGAAATCACTGATGAACTGGCAGTTGGCCTTTCGAGCCGCTGCAATAATCTCAGCACGGGTTGCATTGGGCACACCATAGGCAATATTCTCAGCAATGGTTCCAGAGAAGAGAACAGGTTCTTGTCCCACGTAGCCAATCTTTCTCCTCAGTTGTTTCGCGTTCAGGGTAGTAATATCCCTTCCATCAATGGTAATAACACCCGAGGTTGGAACATAGAAGCGTAAAATAAGGCTAGCAACAGTCGACTTTCCAGCTCCACTAGGTGCGACAATAGCCACGTTGGTGCCCTGCTCAATTTTAAAGCTTAGGTCCTTGAAAATGGAGACTGCTGGCCGGGTGGGGTAGCTGAATGATACGTTCTTGAATTCGATAGGACCACGTGCGGACCTGACAGGTAGGCCCTTGGTTGGCGAGATTGTCGGGTTGCGATCTTGAAGCTCGAACAGACGACTGGCAGCGCCGACACCCTTCATCATTTCGCCGTAGAAACCAGACAAGCCAACCATACTGGAACCAGCGTACACAGTGTACATCAGGAATGATGAGAGTTCACCAATTGAGATGACACCGTTCTTGACCATGTTGCTACCAGCGTAGAGGATAGTGATGATGGTCAAGTTGCCCATGAGACCGGTACTTCCATAAAAGCTCGCAGCAACCACGGCCTCCTTCTTTCCCAGAGCGAATATCCTCTTGATTTGACGGTTGTAACGGGATGCTTCTTGGACTTCACCAGCAAACGCTTGACTAGTCCTGACGTTGCCTAACCTTTCCTCGGCAATCTTGGTTAGAGTACCTAGATTCTTCTGAATTTTGCGACTGAGGTTCCGGAGAGATCTACCACTGAAGAATGCAACGAGGGCCACTGGAGGAGCAATCAAAGCAAGAATACCGGTAAGCTTGAGACTGACAAAACCCATCATGGCGAAACCAGCTGCACCGCTGACGAGCGCACGCAGGCCATCGGACAAGTTCTGTGTAATACTCTTTCCAACAATGATAGTGTCTGAGCCAAGGCGAGAGATGAGATCTCCAACTCTGTTTGCATCGAAGAACTCAGCATTCTGGATAAACGTCTTACGGTAGAGCTGTGATCGCAGGCGGGCGACAATGCGCTCTCCGACAATTCGCAGAATGATGATACGACCAAAGTTGAATGCAGCACCGGTGGTCAAGACGCCAGCAAGTGCAAAGTAGAATAGCGAGGGAGTCATGCCAAAGAGTAAGCCATCGGTATTTTCCGTCGAAGTTGCAGCGTCCAAGATTTTGCCAATAGAGAAAGGTACCGATAATGAGATGCCAGATCCGACGAGTAAGAATATGAATGCCCAGGAGAGGGAACCCAATTCAGGCCGTGCAATGCTAATGAGCCGCCAGATTTCCTTCATGCCACCAGGTGTACCTCCAGATCCAGAGCCATCCTTGCTGAGCTTCGCACTAAGATTAACCTGCTTGGCTTGGGCTGCCTTTTCGGACTTTGCAAAGCCCTGCTCCGCCTCTGCTTCGCCGTCGTGTTCCTCAAGATCCACAATGCCTTTTTCTTTGATTTCATCCTTGTAGGATTTACGTTGTTTGGTGATTTTGTCGTTTACGGATGCTTCGGATACATGTCGGGACGCATTGAATAGTCGGATGGGGTGTTGTAAGCCATTGTGGCGGATAGTCCCCGCAGTTGCGAATCGAGAAAGGGAGGGTGCGAGATGGCAGGTCAGATTCGGCGTGCCCCTTGTGGTCGAGACATTGGGTGTTTGCTTTGTAGCGATTGATCTCGATAATGTCGGCTTGATTGTCGAGATGCGCGACTGTATTTGTGAGAAGAGAGCTCCGTTGCCGGGCCCATGCCAGGCTTTTGCGGAGAAAGCCAGCAGGCCGCGCATGGCTTGAGACAGGTAGACAAGACGACTACCGGGTTCTGAGGGCGATTTGGAGCGATATCAATGCATTCGTCATGGCGGTGGATGGGCTGGCGTGGGAGGGGACGATTTCGGAGACGCTGATCAAAAGTTCGGCGTCGCTGATGACGACAGGACCGCCGCGTCGATCTTGCGCCGACACGTGCCGCGGCAACTACATTTGATTACCGACAGCAGACAAACATCTTTATTTCATTCAGATACACATGCGTATATGATACATATGCGCAAGGCACAAATAACAACTAGGTAGTGCTGTATCGACCGTTGGTAACTGATTCACGCATAACCACAGTCATGGTCGCCATGCAGGTTGACTCATCTTCACTCATGCAAGCTGGAGGCACAAGGCCCGCCATGTACGAGACATGAGCGGCTTCTCTATTTTAAGAAGGCAATTGACATTCCTACGATTATCCGTACTATCCTCCAAGTTCAGCTATCTCAATTCATATCTCACCATGGCTTCAGCTCCTGGATCACTATCACCAATTGAGCTGCACGGAGCGACTCTCGAAGGTGGAGGCCAATTAGTTCGTATCGCCCTTGGTCTCTCTGCGCTCACCAAGAAGCCAATCAGTATCAACAACATTCGTGCAAAACGCTCAGGTGGTGGTGGTCTGAAGGCTCAACACTTGACCAGCGTCCAATGGCTCGGTGAAGCCTCCAACGCGCATGTTACGGGGGCAGAACTAAAGAGCAAGGAAATCACTTTTTCTCCAAATACCACCGGCGGACTAAGCACAATTCTCTCTGCAAGAGAAGTCCGCATTAAACAGTCTACACCCGGAAGTGTCAATCTCGTTCTACAAGCCATACTACCCTATCTTCTCTTCTCAAGGGCGTCATCACCCCTACGTGTTCAAATCACAGGAGGAACAAACGTATCCAACTCGCCCTCATGCGACTACATGACCCAAGTCCTACTACCAACACTAGAGCTCATCGGAATACCACACATCGCCACCAACCTACACTCGCGAGGCTGGTCTCAAGGCACCACTAGTCTCGGCAGCGTTACATACGCCGTCACTCCTTTGACCAGCCAGCTACCATCTTTCCAACTAATGAGCAGGGGCGAAGTAGAACGAGTAACAGCCACCATCATCGCCCCTAAAACCACCGAGCGCCACTTCCGCGAAGAGTTAGATGTAATGTTCGAGCGTCGCCAATCCCACTTCTCCACCAGCAATGAGGTCGATGTACAAATCACATTCGAGGACTCACATCACGAGAAGAGGTACTACCTCCTCTTGGTAGCCACCACATCCACCGGCATGAAACTAGGTCGCGACTGGCTATATGACCGTGGCGTGCGAGCAGGTCAACAGCCACAACACGTTGTTGCCAACATTGTGAAAACGGTTTCGGATAATTTACTAGCGGAGATTGAACATGGTGGCTGTGTAGACGAGTATCTGCGCGATCAATTGGTTGTTTATCAGGCGCTTGCGCGGGGGAAGAGTGAAGTATACGGTGGCGAGAAGAAAGATGGACTTGTAAAGCCGAGTTTGCATGCGAGAACTGCGCAGTGGGTGGCGGGGGAGATACTTGGGGTTGAGTTTGATGAGCGGGGAGGATGCGAGGGGATTGGGTTCTTGCATAGCAGCGAGGAAGAGTTGGTACGGGAATTGGATGCGCTCCATGTTGCGGATACGTAAATCGTCTTTCTATGCCATAGACAGGGTATATATATTTCCTCACTCCCGTATACTCTATGATTCATTTCAAACTCCCTCAGAATCTATCACTCATATTCCTCCCAATCAACGCATCTAAATCGCATACCTGAAATGCTTCGCCTGGATATCCGTCAAATCACTGAACCCATCTATAACCGCCTGTTCATCCTCGCCAGTCCCCCATAGGCGATCCTTCTTCTTGTTCTGCCAAGTCATCCACACGGCCAGCACGCCTGCCACAATTATCATGGCGCAATAACACACAATCAGACCGGTAAGGGCTGAAAAGTACCTCGGTGCCTCTCTCGCAAGAAAGAGGTTCGCCCCAGCGATATTCCCCGCGGCGTAAAATACAAACCACATTCCATTGGCCGTACTACGCTTCGTGTGGCCCGCAATATTCGTCGTGAGCAGATTCCACGAGAGAATGACGGGAGCACCAATAAGGTACTGCAACCACGTGCATCCAACGAGGCTCCATCGCTGAGATAGCGGCGTAAATCGAATACCCAGGAGTCCTCCCAGCGGCGGCAGACACACAATAGCCAGGATAAGACACCGCGTGTTCCTAAAGTAGCCCGCCGCCAGCCCACACAAGGGTACGATAACGAACTCGATAGCACCCGTGGGAAGTTGCAGCAGAGTAGCATAAATACCACTGAACCCAAACCCCTTCAGGAGCGATGACGAGAAATTCGACACTCCGCCATTAATAACACCGCACCCCAACCCAATCAGCGCAATACACAAAACCTTGAAATCAAACACGGCCTCCACCGCCTGCTTCGCATGAAACTTCTTCGTCTTAACCCCAATCATATTCCCCGCTACACGATCAATCGCCACAATCCTCTCTTTATGCGTCAGAAACTTCGCTGTGGCAGGACTATCTGGCATGACAGTCAGGAAAACAAAAGACCAGACGAAATTCATCAGCCCAATAACGAGGAAAATGAGCTGCCAGGTTTTGATATGCGGCGAGTGTGCATGTCCGAGCCCGTAGCCGAGTAGCGCGCCGACCATAGTCGCTATACCGTTGAAGGCGAGGAAAATACACATGCGGAGCGGTTGCTCCGCCCGCGTGTAGAACATACTGACTATGTTCATAATGGCCGGACTTATCGAAGCTTCAAACATACCCAGCAAGAAGCGTAGGGCCAGCATCCCCGCGTAGTTTTTCGCCGCGACATGGCAGCATAGTAGCAGTGACCATATCAAGATCATCGACCCTGTATATTTTGAGACTGGGAGCCGCTGGATGAGGTAGTTTGAAGGGAGCGCCCAGAACAAGTATCCGAAATTGAAGATTGCAGCCACCCAGCTGTAGCGGTTTCCGTGGAGTCCAAGGTCCGGGGTTAGAGTGTAGGCGTTTGCGTAGTTGAGGCTGAGTTTGTCGAGGAATTGTATCATGTATGTCATGCAAATCTTTGTACTTATCAGCTTGCTCTTCTCTTCATTGGTATCGCCATTTAACCCGAAAGAGAAAGACGGAAAGAAAGAAGAGAAGAAAAAAAGAGACATACCATGGGCATAATAACCCAATCGATCTTCCTCAGCACAACCTTTCTCTCCGCCTCCAACTCCTCCCGCGAATACTGCCGAACTTCGAGATACAAATCCGCACCGATATCTTGCATCTGCTTCTCTGCACTGATATCCCCTCGTTCCAAGCTAGGCTCGCGCACAGGCGCCACTTGATCTTCCTTCTTTTCCCCCATTTCTCGCTTTCAATCGAAAAAAAAACAGACCACCTTCGATATTTTTGTACTGCAAACAAAGAGGAGGAGAGGAGGAGGAGGAGGAGGAGGAGGAGGAAAGCTGGCAATAATTACGAGGTCTCAACTAAGCAACCCGACGTCAAATGATGGATCGTAGTAGTACTAGATAACCGCGAAACCACCCCCCCAACAAAAAAGTAACTCGATGGAAAAACACACCAAATCGTACGTAAGTCCCTTCTGTACACCAAAAAAAAATAAACCCAGCGTTTCCACTTTATATACCCAACTATTCGGCCGACAACGGCGGGGGTGAGGGTTGTCTCCAACTCTTGGCACTGAACAGGTAGGATTCGGGTTATCATTCATAATCTACTATCTTATCTGGCGGGGTGGAGTGGGCAAGTTGCCATGTTGAGATGTTTGCACAATCAATGGGCCGGCGGGGGTGCGTAGTTATCATGCGGGCTAACTAGCTGCATGTTCGCCCATTGGTGTGTCGATCCTTTTTTTTGTTCGGCAATGTTTGAATCGGGTATCTCCGGTTCTACAGTTTGCCCCGTGTGGTTGGGGTAAGTAGCTTCTTTCCGACAGTGTGGCATGTTAGTTGACTTGCTTGCTGTGTTTTTAAGAAGAAGAAAAAAACAATGTTTTTTTTTCTACGTGAGTGGTAATTGGGTTTTGGGGGTCGGTTTTCACTTTGGCTGGGTCAATCCGTTGTGGGTAGTTCGCTTTGTAATGTTGATTCTGCTTCATCGCATTTTACTATTTTCAGGGTGGTATATAAACTGAGCCCTTTCAACTACTGTCATCATGGACAATATGCACAACGACATAACAACACAACGAGCAACCCAAGCTGTGGACTTGATATCTACTTCCACAGACCATATGGTCCCGTCGTAAACTTCCAGAGCTTGACCGTTCCATCCTCACTGCCCGTCGCATAGAGCTTTCCATCAGGCGAGAAACTCGCTGACCAAATAGGTCCATGGTGTCCCTTGTTCGTCTCCAACTCCTTCTCTTCATCAAAGTCCCACACTCTGACCCACGTGTCATTCTGATTGCTACCACCAGTAACAAACTTCCTCTCTCCGTTGTGCAGTGCTACACTGGCGAGTTCATATGGTGTTTTGACGCTCTTGATGAGCGAGCCCGGCAATTGACTGTTGAAAAAATAGGCGCTGTTTCCAGCAGCGACGCTCAATATTCCATCCGAGGAGGTGTTATCCAACTCGCATGAACCCACAGTACCCTCTACCGCGTGCTCTCCAATGGTCGACTCCTGTCGCAGATCCCACCACCGGATCTTCTTGTCCTCCGATGCTGTAATTATGACGTTAGGATCTGACGTCCATACTATCGACTTGATGGTCCCTGTATGAACGCCAGCGCCAATCTCGAAGCTTGTCGCGTCGCTGCGTGACAGGTCGTATATCCGCAGCTTCTTTTCCATTCCACCGGTCGCTAGGATTTGAGGGTGAGGTTGGTTGGGGAATGCGACCGCACGGACAATGTGATTGTGGGCGAGAGTGTGTAGCGCTTCGCCAGTATGGGTGTCCCA